GAATATTCTTTATATTATGAATTGTTATAAAACATTACAGTATATTATTGTAACTGATTTTTCGGATGAGAGTCTATACGAGTGACTTAATGGATGAGTAAGTAATACAGTATAAGTGTGTGTATGTGTATGTATGTGTGTGTTGTATGTGTGTGTGTGTGTGTGTGTGTGTGTGTGTGTGTGTGTGTGTGTGTATGTGTCTGTATGTGTGTGTGTGTGTGTGTGTGTGTGTGTGTGTGTGTGTGTGTGTGTGTGTGTGTGTGTGTGTGTGTGTGTGTGTGTGTGTGTGTAAATGTTTATGTACTGTATCTATAACGTGATAAAAGTGCAATAGTAAATTGCATGAATAAACATATAGGATGACCAACTAATACATACACACTTGAATAGTATTTTTAAAAAATAATAATAATTCAAGTTTTCATCAAAACACACACATTTTACTGAATAATTTTAGCATGCTAAATTTATAGAGTAATTTATTATTATTAATCTATATTATATTATAATTACAGATCTATTTAAAATTACATTTTTTAGGTCACTTTATACTGTATATCTACAGTACATTTGCTTACCATATAAAAACATGCAATCATTTTATCTAACAATATATTACTGAATATATATACAGTATATACTGTACTTGAATTAGCTTTAACTTTCAAAAAAATGATAACAACATTATTATGTATGTCTATACAAATGTTAGGCATATATATATAGTATATACTGTTTAGTGGACAGTCGTCTCTATTTATTTTTACTTTTTTTTTCTCTCTCTCTCTCTCTTTATTTATTATTTAATTTTTTTGCCGACAATTTCTAGTGAAAAACATGACATAACAATAGGAGGAGCTATATATTTGTTAACATTTAGCAAATATTAGTGAAATATTAGTATATATTTGATATATATATATATATATATTTCGCAATATATATGGTATCATATAATATGATAATATTTGTTTGTTCATCAAAGAAAAAACAAATTTTTTTGATATTTTTAATTAAACTTTATTTGTTATTCAATATATTGATATATATATACGTGAAATATATAGCAAAATAACATTAATTTTTTTGTTGCTATTTTTTACTGTTGTTTTTTTGAATTGTTTGAATGAGATTTATGTTATATCTATATATCTATTACTAAATATACGGTATATATCTTAATACTATCTAATAATTATTTAAATAATAAGAATAATAATAACATTATATACTGTTATTTTAATTTATTAAATAATAGTATAAATAATATATATATATTCTTATTCATTATTATTTATTATTTTTAAAAAAGTAATTTATATGTTATATTAAAAGATAAAAAATTATAATTTTAAATTTGAAAAAACAACAACAAAAATTGTATAATTATTGTGTAATAACAATAAATTTTGTTTATCTAAATACTACTACTAATAATAATTATTATTATTTAGCTAGAAAAATATAGATAATATATAAAATCGATTTTAGTTTTTTCCATTCAAAGAATATTCTTGTTTTAAGATAAATAGATTATATATATATATATATAAAAATCAATTATTATTACTATTATATTATTATTATTATTTTCTACAATTTTATAAATCAAATTTATATTGTTAATTTTTTTCAATTTTTATTGTTGATTTTATCATGGTATATTATTGATTGACCCTATTTTTATACTATTAACAATTTTATTCCCCATCCCCCTCTTTTAATAACCCCCCCCCACACACACACACATCATACATATTGACATGCATTATTAAAATTACCCCCACCTCCCCCATCACTGGTAAATAAAATTTCAAATTAATAAAAAAAACAATGTATTTTATATATTTATATGTAAAAAACACTATAAATTATAATATCAAAAATAAAATAAATTATTATAAAAAAAATTTTTTTAGTGAAATTGTTTTTTCAATCAAACAAAAAACACCTACGGGTTTTTTATGTATTATTATTACAATAGTATTACCATTTATTACTATAATATTAATTTATATATATTATCAAGCAACTATTAGATTTCTCAGTAAATAATTTATAATTAAATATATATTGAATATATATATCAAGTATTAAATTATCAATTATTTTTTTGATGTTGTATTTATTAAATAAAAACATTATTACATTTCTAGATAAATTATATTTAAAATTATATTAATATTACAATAATAATTATTTTTGTTGTTTTTAATATTTATTAAATATTTCATATATTTCATGCATAGATGTAATTAAAGATATGAAAACAAAAATTATTTATTTACTGTATTAAAACAAATCTATTAAATGGTTTAATCGTTTTTTTTTTAATTTAATTTTTATTTATACAATACAAATATGTATTGTATTTTATAATACCAATGTGTTTATCAATTCAACCGTAAAATAATAAATCAATTATTATTATTAATTGTTTTTTTTTATAAATTTAGTTTATACAGTAGTGATGATTATAATGATAATGATAAAAATGTATTATCAATATATATATATATATATATATTATTTAAAAAATATTAAAATAATTTATTATATAAATAAAACAGTTATTTACATAATAAAACTATTAATGATTTTTTGTTTGTTTGTTTGTATGTATATTAAAAATTTTATTTATCATATATAAAATACTGATTATAATAATAATAATATTATTATTTTTACTAAATATTTTAATAATAATAATAATAATAGTTTTTGTTTAAACTTTTTTTTTATTATTGTTGCCAATCGTAACCTATGAAATCAAATCATCATTTTATGGCTAACTTAGCTAAAACTAATTGACATTTAATTAATAGCTATTCAACCAAATATTAATATATTATCACTAAATATACAGTATATATAAATTTATATAATACAATACTTTTTTATATTATTATAATAATAATAGGCATAATATAAATATATATATAATAATATAATAATAATAAATTATTATTTTGATAATATGGTAATCAATTGTGTCAATCATTTATTATAATTTATTTTATTTTTTTTTAAATTGGCTAATAAATGTCAGATCCAATTTTTTTTATTAATATTTGTTTTTTACTAAACTAATAGTTTTTATTTTTATTATTATTATTATAAATAAATAAAACAATCATTTATGAAAGTCATTTTTAAAATTAAATATTGAATGTCATTATCACATACACATACACATACACATACACATACACATACACATACACATACACATACACATACACATACACATACACATACACATACACATACACATACACATACACATACACATACACATACACATACACATACACATACACATACACATACACACTATTGTCATTGAAATTATAAATTGTTTATCCTATTTATTATTATTATTATTATCATATAATCATTATTTATTATAATTTATATACATGTATAACATGTACAGTATATGTACTGTATATTAATATTAATAATAAATTTAAATAACATATAAATCATTAAATTGAATAAAAATCAAATCATAAAATATAAATTATTTCATTGAAATTTCAATAAATTAAATTGCATTTTATTATTATTTAGTAATTATTATAGAAATAATTTGCATTTAGTTTTTCGACAATAAAAATAAACATTTATTAGAATAATAATAATAATAATACACTATTTAATAAATTTATGATTATATGTATAGTTTTAATTAAATTTATTTTTAAATTAATTAATTTCAACAAAAAAGTTTTTAATTTTTTTAATAACTTTTTTTTGACCATAAATACAATAGGATTGCAATATATAATGGTTTGCAATTAAATAATACATTATTTTGTAACAAATAAAAAAAAATCATTATATACTGTATCAATGATTTTTAAAGTTTAATTAGTTTTCAAATAATGATTTAATAAAATAATTTTACAATTATTACTATTATTTTTTTTTTTTTTTTAGATAAACAGCTCGTCATCATTGAAATTACAGTATATTTTTTTCATTTATAATTTTCACAAAAATAATAATAATAATAATAATATGGGAACCGCTATATTCATAACAAACAAACCTAATAATAATAATAATAATTAAAAAAAATTATTTGTCTGTATGTATGTGTTTAATATAATACAATTAAATAATAATTAATTATAAAAAAAAAAATGTTAACAAAAAAAATATTATTAAATAAACTTATAATAATAATAATAATCATCAAAAATTATAATCAAACAAACATTAAATGGCTAATTAATTTTTATAACGGTTCCGCATAAATATATATTTATTTTTTTTATTTTAATTATTTATATATAATAATATAATTATTATTATTAGTAAATATATTTACATTTTTAAAAATATCAATTTAAATCAAATTGAACAAAAATTATTATTATTATTATTATTAAACTATTATTTAAATATTACGCTAATTATTTAGATATGATTGTTTGTTTGTTTAATTTTTTTTTGTATTTTAAAATTTTTTAACAAAAAATTATTAAAATTAGTTTAGCAATTAATATACTATCGGTCAATAGTACAGTCATAATAATAATAATAATTGTCATCAATATTATTATTATTATTATTTAAAAAATATAAGCAATTTTTAACATAAAAATACAATTATAATATATATATATATACTGTATATATGTTTGCATTATATCATCATTTCTATCAAATCAAACACATATATATAGACAGTTAGTGATAAAGAGAGAGAGAGAGAGAGAGAGAGAGAGAGAGAGAGAGAGAGATCTTTTCAATTAATTTGTTTTCAAGCATTTAAAATAAATGTCCCGAAAACTAAAGATAAATAAAAATAAATAAATAATTGTTATTTAAATTTACAACAGATTATTATTATTATTATTATTAACAATTAAATATAAATCATTTAATTGTATTATCAATTATCATCATAATAATAATCATCTAACTAATTAATTATTATTATTATTTATATCAATCAATCAATCAATCAATTATCAAAAACAAAAAAAAATTATTTATAATTATAAAAATCAATAGTAATAAACAATTAATTAATTTAATTAAAACAAACAAACAAACAAACAAAAAGACACACAGATATGATATATGTCTCTCTCTTTTTTTTCGGGGGTCTATCTGTACTGTCATTTATAATGAGGTTGTGTTGGTAGTGGTGGTGGTGGTRGTAGTAGTGGTGTCCGAGTTGTCTATGTGTGTGTCTGTCTATCTGTCTGATCCTATACCCTCCCATTCCTCCTCCTCCTCCTCCTCCTACTAGTCCTCTACCACTCGGCATCGCCGACAGCCTTCTGGAATACATAATCTTTTCCCTGAAGATTCATAATACCATCTTTCAGATGAAACTTCCATTTGTTACGACTTCTGGTTATCTGTTTAGGGGTCGGGGGGTTGGGGTTGAGGTTTGCATAACAAACAAACAAAAATAATTAGTTATGTTAAGCATATTTAAAATATACGGTAATTACCGTAAAACTACTGTATTATTATTATTATTATTACCGTAACTAATATTTTTTACTATACATATATTACTGGTTACCGATAATTATCGGTATTATTATTATTACCGTAACTAATATTTTTTTACTATACATATACTACTGGTTACCGATTATTATCGGTATTATTATTACCGTAACTAATATTTTTTTACTATACATATATTACTGGTTACCGATAATTATCGGTATTATTATTATTACCGTAACTAATATTTTTTTACTATACATATACTACTGGTTACCGATTATTATCGGTATTATTATTACAGTAACTAATATTTTTTACTGTACCCTATATTACTGGTTAGCGATAATTATCGGTATTATTATTATTATTATTATTACTGTAACTAATATTTTTTTTTAACTATATATATATATATATTACTGGTTACCGATAATTACCGGTATTATTATCTAAATATATTACCGTAATCTCAATAAAATATCTAAATATACTTTTTTTAAGGTTTTTGATTACTGATTGTATTTTTTTTAATAAAAAAATGTCGCCTAAAAAATAGACGAATGTCTTCAAATCAATTTTTTTAATTTTAAAAGGATAGGGAGTGTACGGGGATAGGGATCATCAACCTAACAAATAGCACATACCTTATCGTATTGACAGACGACTACATTATCAGTTTCGAACAGTTCGGTGGGATCTTCATCGCTGACATCGTCCTCAGAGTTTAACGGTTCCTAATATAAAAAACCAAACAACAAATTAAATACCACTGTCCTGTAATATACTACCGTTCCTCTAGTCTCTCTCTCTCTCTATAAATCAATCAATCAACASATTATTGAAAAGATAATAACATACCTCGTCCTCTCCCTGACCATCATTATCGTCGTTATCGATTTCTTCGTCATTATCGTCGTGATCGTCATCGTTGTCTCTGTACTCGTCTTCGTCGTCATCTTCGTCGCTGGTATCGTGAGCGCCGTCCAATTGGACAACTCGATTGGCAGCCGCCGCCGCTGCCGTCGACGACTGTGCGGTGGTGTTGTTACGGGCAGCGACAGCGGCTGCAATTGCAGCCGCCGATGGCGGTGCCTGTCGTATGGTATTTGCGGCCGTGCCGGCAGCCGTCGCGTACTGTATGGTCGTATTCGGTGCTAAATTGATATCTATTTACCGATAATTACCGATCAAGTAAGAGTAAATTCAGACAATTATTACGATACTCTCTATTATATACCGTAATATGTATATCAAATACTAACTATTAGTGTGATGGACAACTGATGGCTGTATGACATTGGCACCGATACCCCCACCACCACCTCCTGCTGCAGCCAAGTGTTGCTGAAATTGTAGTTGATTTAGGACATTATGTGACTGTATAGATATATACATATATATATATATAATTATTAGTATAATTCAATCATAAAATCTTTAAAAACAAACAAAAAAACTAACGAAAAGTATATGCTGTCCACCGTTTTGGAGGACCAACATTTTCGGCTGTTGTTGTTGTTGTGTCGGTACACCGCTGCGGCCATCACTCTGATTATGGACAGATAGACAGAAAAAATAGCAATCAATCAATCAATAACTACATAACTGTGCTATACATTTAAAAAAAAAAACAAAAAATTAATTACCGATTCACTAGTAGTACCGGTAGTTGTCGTATAGTTGATACCCGACTGACCCAATATAATATTCTGGTGGGCGTTTGGTTGTATATGCAATGTTTGTTGTTGTTGGCCAACACCAACACCAGTGCCCGGGCCGTGATGTATAGGCAACGTGTGATGTATATTACCGGTGACCACTGTCTGCTGCGGCTGCTGAGGAGGATGGGGTACTAGTGTTGCTGGTGTTGTTGTTGTTTGCGAGGAGTGTAGGGTTTGTTGTGGTTGGGCCGGCAGCTGCTGCTGCTGCTGCTGGACATGTGATTGCATTGTTAGATGTGCCGCAGCCGTGGCCACTATCGACGGCTGTGATTGCGTTAACTGACCGGCCGGTACCGATGGTGCTGACTGTTGGGAGAGCAGCAGCGGCGGCCGCCTCCGCCCGAGCAGCGGCCGCATCCTTATCTTTGTTGGCCTGCGACGAGTTACGTGACGAACCGCCACCGCCGCCCGAATTGTTATGTCTGTTCGAATTTTTGCTGGCCGTCGGCGCCGGTTCCGGATCTTTGGCCGTCGGATCTACGGCTTTKGTTTCGGTAATCTTTTTTTCCCACATTTGTTTCAGATCGGCCAGTACTTGTTCGTCGACACCGTCGTCCAGAAAGGCCTCCCGTACGCCGTTAAGGACATCGTCGATGACCGTACGGTAAAGTTTATACTAGAAATAAATAAAAATATATATTTAAAAAAAACTTTTTTTTTAAACAACCAGTAATTATACTAAAAAAATCTTTTAAATAATAATTATTTTTATTTTTTTTAATCAATTTAGTCGACTATTTATATAAATATTTTTTTTTTAGTTATAGTTATAGTTATTATTAAGTTATAATTTTTTTTTTAATAATAATAATAATTTTATTAACTAAATATACTGCAGTAATATCTATATGTATGTATGTCTAGCTATATATATATGTATAGCGCTTATGTATATGTTTATTGTCGGTGTGGCCGCTTATACATATGGCCGTCCTATATATATATATATATATATGGTATATATACACACACTTACCACATTGGATGTAGCCGTCATCGGATCAATCGGCTAACTTCGGGACCAGTTGTGTGTATGAGATAGGGTCGGGTAGTTTGTTGTTGTTGTCGATGATGACCTGATATACTATAATAAAGGGCTTATATGTTTGTGGTGTGGGCTTCACGTAAAAAAAGCCAACTGTTTTTGACTACAGGAGCTCTTTATATACGTTCAGTTTTGTTGGAGTACTGTGTGTACTGTATATGTGTGTATGTGTATAGTATATGTGTGTGTATGTATGTATGTGTGTGTGTATGTGTATGTATGTGTGTGTATGTGTGTGTATGTATGTATGTGTGTGTGTGTGTGTGTGTGTGTGTGTGTGTATGTGTACAGTATGTGTGTGTGTGTGTGTGTGTGTGTGTATAGTATGTATGTATGTATGTGTGTGTGTATGTATAGTATGTATGTATGTATGTATGTATGTGTGTGTGTGTGTGTACAGTATGCATATGTGTGTGTGTGTGTGTGTGTGTACAGTATGTGTGTGTGTTTGTATGTATGTATGTGTATGTGTGTGTACTATCTCTCTACAACAAAAATAATAATAATAAAAAGGGGTCATAGAGGGGGGTGTCAACTTTTATTAGATATACTGGCTTTGTTCACATATTACGTTCGAAATCTAGACACCCCTTCCTTCCCTCTTCCATATGTTTGCATGTAATCATTTTTTTCAACAACAAAAAAAATAAAAAATTACATTAACATATCCATCTAACCGCTAACCCACCCCCACACGCCCGCCTCCCTCACTGCTAAATAATAAAATATCTAACAGCAAACGTTCTTAAGATCTCTACCCCTCCCCCTCCCACTCCCCGCTTGTTCGCAAAAGTTTGCTTCTGGTCAACCGCCCCTCCCCACTCCCGCATCAAGTGTGAACGTAATATGTGAATCACTCCTTAAGGGAACAGTAGTATATGAAATAAATATATATAGAAAAAAAACATATAACATCCCTGTCCATCAATAACGACACACTTACCCCACTCCTCCTCCTCCTCCCCCCCGATAATACCCTGGTTGACAATACCCTTCCACCTCCTCCTACCCCACCCCTCGGGGGTATCATCATAATTACCTCGGGGGTGTAGGGGTGAAACAAAAAAAAGTAGACGATTAGCGGGTGTGTGTGTGTGTGAGGACAGTCAGCGGTAGACGGTCTGGGATTTGTCGTTATTTTTTTTTTATTGCTGTTATTAATAGACATTTAGCGCACAAGTAGTTTATACTGACTGTGCGCGTGACTGACTGACTGACACTACCCGTGTGTGTGTGTGTGTGTTATGCCCTCCAGTGGACAGTCAGTGAAAACACGGGGTATTGTATTATTGGAAAAGTTTTGCCGCAATTTTTTTTTATTTAATGTTTGTCTAACAGATTATTTAGCGGACAACTATTTATTAGCCGAGATATCGACTGACCCGACCCGACCCCCGATACTATCCCCGAATTGACTGACCGTTTCGTGTTTGTGACCACACGTGTGTTGACCGGGGAGATAATCAATTGAAATATACACAGAAATGTCGGGAACAGCTGATGATGACTATCCGATGCCGTCCACGTCGACGACGGCGGCGTCGTCGTCGTCAAGCGGTAATACAACAATGGCCAATAGTACTTTGGCCACTGCCGCCGCCGATACGTCCATTGCAAGCACCAGTGGTGATGGTGGTCGCCGTCCGAAAGATCAGACAAACAATCACTATTGCGACGACTATTTCGATATCGACGACATTGTGGCCAACAGTCAGCGTGTTTTGTGTACATTTCAGAAAACTATCGGCGGTATCGGTCCGCTAGTCGACCCCAATTCGGATCAATCGGATATCGATGCCGGAACTAAACTCGAACTGCCGCTATGGTTGGCCCGCGAACTCTATACGGAAGGCTTGATCGATATAACTGTACCGAAAGGCTACAATCGGACCTATCGGGAGATTTTCGAAGCCGACGCCAACTGTGTTGATCTACACAAACTGTGTCCACAGTACTACCGATTCGGCCAACACTTGGCCCGTTTGAATCTGGATGAATCCGAAGATATAGCGGCCAGTCTAGTGGATACCTATCACCAGCGTTATCATCGATTGGTCAACTATTCGCTGTCGGCATCGGGCAGTTCATCGGCCGCCGCCGGTGCCGAAACACTGGCCAACGTTGAACTGCACAATTTTTGCCAACAATTGGACAACGATGAACGGCAACAGTTTGATTGCGGTAAACAAGCTATGGATCAGATGAAAGAGTGGCACAATCGTAGCCTAGAAAAGATTACGGCCAACGAAGTGGTGGTCAATCTACGCAAACGTAAACATATTGTCAGTTCTACGGCGGATACTGCGGCGGCCACGGCTGCTGCGGACAACTCGTAGCGATTATTATTATTATTATCAATAGGTTTTTTTATAAGGAGTTTAGTTATTATAATAATAATTTAAATAATTTAAAAATATATATGTAATTATGTTTTGTATTGTTTTATTTACGGTAAATAGTATTTACCGTAAAAATAGACAATATTTTGCTAAAATACTATTGATGTGAATATAAAAAAAAATATCAATAGATTTTTTGTTTTGTGTACTAATAATTACCGTAATGTTTTTTTTTGGTGTAAATTAATTAATTGATAACTAATTTTAGTTTTGTTTGTAATTTTCAATATTATTTGTAATGATAATGATATATATTTTAATATAATAATTGATTAATTGCTAACTTTATAAATAATTTTTTTTTGTTATTATTAAATTTTGTATAATATGTGATACAAATATATATATATATATATTTATTATATACTATTGAAAACAAAACTAAAACAAATAATTGATTAAATAACTATTTTTTTCAGTTTTAAATTAATTAAATTTATATACAAATATACAATAAATTAAATTATAATTTTTTTTGTTGATTTAATCATTTATATACTGTTTTTCTAATTTGAAATCTAAAAACTAAAAGTTTTATTTCTGTTTTATTTTTTAAAATATTGATAAAATGTTTTGTATATAATTTAATTATTTATTTATATATTATTAAATCACATCAACTGTTATCACATATTAGTTATTATTATTACGGTATTTAAATTAAATTAAATTTTTAATTACCGTTTTTAACCACATAACTTGCCATATCAATTTTAAAAATTAATTAAAAGTGTCATAAATTACTAAACCTGCCATACAGTGGCAGATAATGCGATAACTAAAATAACCGAATGGCAGTAAATGTGATAACTGGTATCTACACTACTATAAGTGTTTTAAATATCTAAATTTAGTTATAATTAATTAAATATATGATCAATCAATAAATAAATCAATAATTTAATATTCTAGGATCGATCTATAATTAATAAATGATCGATCAATACTATAAAATTAATAATCAAATATATAATAAATTTAATTCGCATTAATAATCGCATTAAATAATGATAAAAAATTATGAGTGGCATGAATTTGACACATAATAAAAACTTATAACATGGCTGGGATTTTGTGCCCCTAAATCTAGCAAATTCCAGGGGAACCAATTACCACGAAACCTGCCACTTATCGCATTACCTTCCATGCCAAATTATGTGCGCAACAACGGTAAATAAAAAATATAATAATATTAATATATATATTTATAACTTACCGTAAGTCTACTGTAAATTTGATTTTCGGATTAAAAAATATATATAGTATTGAAAATATAGTGTCAGTCAATCAGTAATTAATTAATTAATTATAAAAATAACAATTTGTTTATCAATAAATTCTTCAAATTTTTGTTTGTATTTAATTAATTTATTTATATATTATTATTCAATTATTAACACAAAACATATCATTAATTTTTTTTTAATAATTAATGAACAAAAAAAATGTATTTTAACGACAATAACAATCAATCATTGCCTCAAAAAAAATTACCGAAAAAAAATCATAACTATTATCACAAATTAGTTATTATTATTATTTAATTTAAATTAAATCTTTCTTTTTAATTAAATAAAAAATAAAAGAATAATAATAATAATATTTATAAATTATATAATAATATTAATATATATATATATAACTTAAGTCTAAATTTGATTTTCGGATTAAAAATTAAAAAATATATATAGTATTGAAAATATAGTGTCAGTCAGTCAGTCATTAATTAATTATAAAAAACAATTTGTTTATCAATCAATTCAAATATATTTATATATATATCCCTATAATAATCGGTGATTCATTCATCTCTCTCTCTCTTAAAATGGCCGCAAATCTTTGTCCACCGGGTATTGACCACCTGTTTCATCGCCGACGACAACAACGTGTTGTTTGTTGTTGACCACCAAAACAAATACATGTGTGAAATAAATCGCGTGTGAAATAAATAAATCGGATAAAAACACCACAAAAAAAAACAAACAAACAATTAGTCAAAATCAATGCCACTGTCTATGACCAGAGTCTTGTCTTTTTGTATTTAATTGGTTAGTAGTAGTAGTAGTAGTAGTAGTAGTAGTAATAGGAGTGGTAGTAGTAGTAGTACTAGTAGTATGTGTTTGAAGGATAGACATACTCTCCTGTTTGTATCGTTGAATAGCCCGTTCCCTTTCGTTGGCATCAAAATACCAGACAGTTATTGCAAATCGTAAACTATTTGATGGCTGAACTTCATGTGGATTGCGTCGGTCTGACCAGAAAAATATCACTCGATTGAACTTCGGTTCGATGTCCGCAACACAGGACGATATTTGCGGAAATAGACGCAAAACACCGCCGTCTCGCTGAGTAATAGTAGTAGTAGTGGTCATCGGTAGGAAAGATAAATAAAAACATTAGTATTAGTCATAGAAAATAACATATAATTTGTTTGGATGGGAGAGGGGTAGGGGTTCGGGTGGTGTCGTGTTATATATATATACCTGTCGGTCATAATTTTGATTGAGATAATAAATACTGGTCACACATCGGCCATCGTTGTTCGGGTTGTCAATATGTCTGACATATTGACTACTGTTACCGGGATAGCAGGCAATCATGGCTTTCGTACGCCTATTGATACGATATTTGGCAAACTGGCCGTCGGTGGACATTGTATTGCAGCGCATAATAATCGAGTCCAATGTCTGAACTAGAAAACCGATATTCACGCAAAACGATTCCTGTCCGTCAACCCAAACAATATGATCGCCCCGAACCAGCTGCGAGTTTAGGGCCTTATTGTTGACCACTTGGCCCGCCTTGAATAGGCCACAGTTGTACAGTGCTATAACCTCTTTGAATATATCGGTTCCATTGTTCAGGAAGTCGTCGATAACACAGAAACCGAATTCATTCAAGTCGTGTATTATTGATTCGCAATACGAATTCAGTTTCGACATCACAATCGACGAGTCCTGTTGTTGTTGTTGTTGCGGCTGCTGCTGATGGTGTTGACTGTCGACCAGCAGTGTGTGGTCAACATTGTTGTTGTTGTTGTTGTGATTGAGAGTCGGCTGCGGTGGCGGCGGCATCGGTCGGACTGTCGCCGCCGATATCTGATTGCTGACACCGTTATTGAGAGCCATAGATGGAGACGACTGAGGAGGCAGCGCCGTCGCTACCGGCGATAGAGAAACAGTTTGTCCACTAAGTAGTTGTTGGCTTATAATGCTATCGCCAGCGCCGCCGACAACAATGGATGATTCGGGACGACTCATAACAACACGATGTTGTTGTTGCTGCTGTTGTTGCAGCTGTTGTTGTTGTTGTTGTTGTTGGTGGTGGTGGTGGTGATGGTGGACAACGTGTTGCGGCGGTAGTGATGTTGGCAATTGATAGTTGGCAGCGGCGGCGGCAGCCATTGTTTGCTGTTGTTGTTGTTGTTGTAGTAGTAGTTGTTGATAGACTTGTCGACAGTGATCGCGATGTCGTTTCCAGTCCAGCTGCTGGTGTTCGCGGCTACAGTAGTAGACTGACCGACATCGGGAACAACATTTCAGACTCGCGGACGAACTGCATACCGAACACCGCAAACCTGGCGGCGGATAACAATGAACGTTAGTAGCCGTGGCTGCGGCAGCGGCGGCGACGGCGGCGGAGGACAACTGATGGTCACTGATGGTGGCGGCGGCGGTTGCGGTGGATGTCATTAACAGGATGTCCAGTGTGTGTGTGTGTTTGGTCACCGATACATATGTATTGTTGTTGTTGTTGTCCACTGGATATACCACTACTTGTTGTTGTTGTCGTTGATGTCAATGATTTGTTGTTGTATTTTGTGTTTATAATACTATTGATACAAACGTTAAGATTATTATTATTATTATTATTTGTTTAATGTATTTACAGTATTATTATTATTATTATTATTTTCAACATTCAATTCAATAGTTTTTTATTTTATTTAATTCCAATAGTGTTTTGTGTTTTGTATACAAATAAAAATACAAAACAGTGTATATAATAAAAATACTAATCAGTGTTGGCAGAGACACACACACACATACACACAAACACATACATATATACACACAAACATACATACATACATACATATATACACACACACAAACAAACAAACATACATACATACATACACACACACATACAAACACACACACATACAAACATACATATATACACACACGCACGCACACACACAAACATACATACATACATACACACATACAAACACACACATACAAACATACATACATATATACACACACGCACGCACACACACAAACATACATACATACATACACACATACAAACACACACATACAAACATACATACATATATACACACACGCACGCACACACACAAACATACATACATACACACATACAAACACACACACACACACACACATACAAACATACATATATACACACACGCACGCACACACACAAACATACATACATACATACACACATACAAACACACACATACAAACATACATACATATATACACACACGCACGCACACACACAAACATACATACATACACACATACAAACACACACACACACACACACACACACACACAACAAACATACATATATACACACACGCACGCACACACACAAACATACATACATACATACACACATACATACATTTAGCGCTACCAAGTGTTAAAAAAATTTTTATAATATGCATAGTTTTTATAATAATAATAATAATTATTATTATTATTATTGAATTTCTATTTATTATTTTTTGTATTATTTTAAATTTTAATTATTTTAGAAAACAACGATTATTATTATTATTATTAACAATAATTTATTTTACAAGCTATTATATAATTTCTACTAAATATTTTTTTAAAAAAATATTTTAACATAGTATATATATTTATATTAGTTTTAGAACTTTTATATTACTGTAGATATTTCAAGTTAAAATTTTTTTATAAAAAAAATCATGCTTGTATTATTAGCCAACCCTAGTTAATAGTTTGAATATCATTGAAGTGCTGTTTGTTGTGTTTACGCATAGTATCGCACGTAAGCACTAAATAGTAATACAGTGTTGATATTAGACTCATATAACTCAGGGAAATAAATTCCTGCCCTGGCTATGCCCAAATTGTTGATGCCATAAATGCCTGCCCTTTTTAGATTGCTAAAAAACAACTGTATATTTATAAAAAAAAAATAATGTAATTTAGTGTTTTTTTAGCATGGTAATTAAATTTACAATTTTATCTATTTATTTCCAAAAAATGATATTACCTTTTAATTAATGGTATATATTTAAAAAAAAATACAACTAAAAATATATCGATAAAACTAAAAATTAATTAATAATTTAAAATTAAAATAATAGGTGACACTACCTGAAAATAAATGCCCAGTACATGGCATAGGAGGCAGGGGGCAGGCATTTGGCATCAATTGTTCAGGCCTGCTATTTTTAAAACCCTGTATACAACATGTTATACAGCATTGACTTTTTCTATACATAGTATTATATTATATAATTTATATACAATCAGATGTTATGTGATAATATGTGACTGTCCTCTCACTCACTCACTCACCCATACATACATACACTTAATGTAGACGATAGGGTTAAACTGCTATTAGGGTTTATAATGATTACAAAAAAAGGGTTGTGAGAGGGAAGTTCCCTAAAAATAAACTGTTAAAAAATATATTTTCCCGGAAAATATTAAAAAAATATTTCCATATTTTTTTCTACCTAGCTTAATTTAGTTTAGTATTTATTTTGATACTTAAATAATATAAAATTAAACTGTATATTATATATAAATATATTATAATATAATTTATAAATATTATTATTCTAATAATAATAACTAATTTGTGATAATAGTTATGATTTTTTTTCGGTAATTTTTTTTGAGGCAATGATTGATTGTTAGAGAGAGATGAATGAATCACCGATTATTATAGGGATATATATATATATATATTTGAATTAATTGATAAACAAATTGTTTTTTTATAATTAATTAATTAATTAATGACTGACTGATACTATATTTTCAATATTATATATATATTTTAATTTTTAATGCGAAAATCAAATTTAGACTTAAGTTATATATATATTAATATTATTATATAATTTATAAATATTATTATATAATTTATAAATATTATTATATAATTTATAAATATTATTATTATTATTCTTATATTTATTATTTAATTAAAAAGAAAGATTTAATTTAAATTAAATAATAATAATAACTAACTTGTAATAATAGTTATGATATTTTTTTCGGTAATTTTTTTTTTTGAGGCAATGATTGATTGTTATTGTCGTTAAAAAACATAATTTTTTTGTTCATTAATTATTCTAAAAAAAAAAATTAGGTAATGATATGTTTTGTGTTAATAATTGAATAATAATATATAAATATGAATAAATTAAATACAAACAAAAAATTTTATCAATGCTTTTGCCAAACTTTTAGTTTTATTTATTTATTTTCAAAACATATATTTAGTGATCAATGAACACACAATAATAGTGGTAATGTTTTTTTTGAAGTTTTTTTTCAACAAAAAAAAACAAACAGTATATAAATGATTAAATCAAATCAAACAAAATAATAAACAAACAAAAAAAAGTCAAAAAAAAATGTATATTTGATTAAAAAAAACACGGAATTAATGATATTGTTTTAAAAAAATATCAATAAAATAAAGTTATTTAAAAAAAATCAAATATATAAATGTAATGATTTTAAACATCTAACTAATAATATCAACAATAATAATAATAATGGGAGGTGTATGTATATAAAATTGGTGGCGTAAATAAACACAAGCAAAAAAACAAAAAATTTCTAAAAAAATTGATTATGATATATAAAAAAAATATATAATATATATATAGATTTATGATTTTTATGATCAAATAGTTTTGTTGTTTTTTTTTAAAAAAAAACAGTGAATGTGGTGTCCAAATGGTCAACAGTTTATATATGTATGTATATAATGGTTGGTTATAATGTGATAATAATGTTTGTTTTGGTTTGTTTTACAAGTAAAACAAACTGTCCGATAGGGCAACATTGGGCTCCCGATGCAAGGCTGTACCCGTTAGGAAGGCCAATTTGTGGGCGTATTGACAGGGTGCCGGTACACGTATAGTTCCCTATAATAAAATAATAACAAACAAAACGGTTTTAGTTAATCGGTAATCAATTACGGTTTCGGGTACAGAGAGAGAGACACTTACCACCCAATTGTAGTACAAGTGTGTCAACTTGTAGGCCAACTGTTGGTGATGATGTGGTTTCCAGTTGGTATCGTCTTTGATAATGTTATACATAGTTGGGGCTACTGTTCCCTGGCGTACCGATTGCGATATCAAATAGAAATCGTAACGTTCCTTACGTGTGACACAAGTGTCGACAATGGTTCCCGGGAATGGGTTGTCAAACTGGCGTTCACCCAATTTCTGCATAATACGAGTGTTGATACGTTTGGTGACAATAACAAAGGCCAGTTTAATGCCGGCAGCGGCCGATCCAATCTTCTGGATCGCCTCCTCGATCTGTTTGAGTTCATATTCGTACACATACTGAATGTCGCCTTCGCCGACACCATCTCTGTAGATGATCAGTCTCTGCGGTAACTTCTTATTGATCTCGTAGTAACGTTTCAGACCGTTCGAGAAATTAGTGGCCAAATTGCTCGATAATTCTTCGCGATTGTCGTGAAACGCCACCCGTGAATACCATTTGGTTAGTGTGGCGTTAGTACTGCAAACAAAACCGCCAATTGCTTTGCCACGTGAGGCCTGATCTCGATGTACGTCAAAGCCGGCCACCATCAAGTCTTTAGGCTATTTTGATGATAACAACAAAAATAAATTGTATTAAATCGTCTATAAAAAAACCCGAATCATTAACACCACTTACAGGTATATCCAGAGCCCAGGGTTCGCCACCGAGTTTGGCACCCATTTGTATACCGACTTTCGTACAAACAGACATCAACATCTGTTTTTTAGACAATGTTTTCGTGACAACACATTGAGATGGTATGGGATGATCGATACAGAAGATCTTTTTGATAGCATCGTATCGGTCCTTACTATTGTTGGGCAACAGTATGACGGCTATCTGGGTCTTAGGTTCCAGTGCTTTGCAAGCCTCAACATAGGTAGGTATGCGATCGTTTTCCAGATGCTGGACTTGGGGTCGGTTAAGCTGTATGCCCAACGGTCGGCAAACGCGGTTCAAGGTCTGGGAAAACTCGTCGACCAGTTGCCGATCGCGCTGAGTAGCAATAATAACCCAATCCTGGACCCGACAGCCGCCGAACATACTCTTGTTGCGAATTTCTTTCGAAAAGTCACCCGTTTTCTGGATAAACGTTGCCCCAGTTTGGGGTGTGTCTCCTTGCATGAGAATCTTTTCGCAATCCAATCGGCGGGCATTGATCTCGACGGGAACCGATTCAAATTTCAGTCCCCATTGGTTCATCTCCTGTTGAATGGTAGCGTCGTTGGCTATACGACTGATAAACTGATGCAAATTCTTCACTCGAGTAGTCGGATCCGTTTGGGTTTTCTGTGTCATCGATCGGCGGACATTGAAATCGCTGCGCAACGTTTCCGATAGGCCAGTCATACGGCACAGTTCGGGTATCAAATAAATCGGTCCTTCAGTACCGGCACGTTGTTGGCGTTCGGTGGGTAGGCCGACAATTAGCGGCTGTCGGAGGTCACGAATTTCGATATTATAATGTTGTTTATAGTATTCGTGAATTGGCATCTCATTGGTCTTGAACTTGAACAGTGTGGTCGGATTTTTGTCGAAAGCCAGATCATCGACTTTGTAGGTCTTGTTGTTATAGGTTGTCATTACGATATTGCCGGCCAACTCTTTGCGGGCATTGTCCTGAAACGACGATCGATCTCTGTTGAGTATATCGCGTAGATTTTCGGCTACAGTATCCATACGGAGTACTTTGTGTACGGTATCGGTAACCAGCAACAGGCCATCGTCGTGCTGGTTGATGGCAGTGAGGACACCCTGTAATACTTCCAGTTTATGTTCGGGTATCTTATGCGAGATATCCGGATTGAAATAGTGTCGGCCAATCAGATTCCACTTCAATAGATGCAAATTGCGGCGCATCTGTATGTTATACATGCGTAACATTTCCTGATGACCCCATGCAATCTCGCCGACCATTTTCACTTTAATCCTATCGGTTAAAAGGTTTGGACAATAACAACGACAACAAAAATTATTACCGATAAGACATCAAACCCGGGATCAATTATATATAAACCCCGATAAAAAAACTAACGGTTCGGGAAAAGACCGTTAATAAAATACCTGATCTGTGCGTCATCTGTACGTCGGGTAGAGAAAAACTCCGTCTCTTCGGTGGCCAATTTTGTAGTGGACTTAATATTGGACATACCGTCAAACGTCAGCTTATTGTTGAACGCCTCCTTATGGGTAAACAGCAGCGCTTTGCGCATAACACGGGCCTCGACTTGCGGCTCAAAGTCCACGTGATAGTCATAGATAATCACATCCTTGGGTGTGTGCAGACGAAAATAGTTGGCCACTACCCTGACTTGTTGACCACCTTCGCCGTGCGTAATCTTGACAGTCGGCGGTATAGTGTTAATAGTTTCGGTACCGCGAAAACCGCCGCGACCACGTCGTGAAGCGCCTGACCGGTGGTGGGAGGGATAGAGAAACAAATGTTAAGTCAATTACGGGGAACGGTATATAAAAAAACCCTATAAACCACAAGTCCTTACCTCCGTTTCCATCACCATTGCCACCATTACCTCCATTACCGCCGCCGTTTCCTCCATTACCGCCACCTTCGGCTGCTCCTCCTCCCTCGGCACCTGCTGTCGGGCCAGTTTCGGCTACTGCTACGGGTCTGATACATAGATAGAGAAAGAGAGAGCACAGTTAGCTAACTACACAAACAGTATGGGCCATCTATCTATCTATCTAGACTTACCGTCCTCGGGCACGTCCACGGGAACGGCCGGCTCCCACACTTTCGCTCTCAGACATTGTTGTCTATTATTAAAACACTGAGATCGCAATCAAATGGATGGTTGGATCTAATCAATTGGTGATAATTTAAAAAACAGTTATATATAAAAAAAAATACGTGTAGTTTTTTAAGCGCTAAAATAAAAACCAATAGTTTTTATAATATTATTACTGATTATACTGTAAACTACTGTATGTTAAGTGTCGACACATTACTAGTGATTTGAAAACAGGTTTGTTATATATATCTATCTATCTATCTATAAGTTTTGAGGTCCTATTTCTTAGGAAAAAAAACTATACCAATAAATGCTTCTCCATATATATATACACTAAAAATAATTACTGTCCAAACAACTAACTGTCCAAAGGTTAACTATAGTCTCTCGCAATGTTTATGGGGAGGAAAGGGAGAGAGAGAGAGAGTAGGGTTATAAACTACATCAACGATAGGCTAAAGGGTCTCCAATACCTACCAACACCATCACAAACACTACTATCTACAAGTGCTTGTAATATAATACATAAGCCTTGTGTATGTAAATACATACAGCATAAATCGTGTGATTTCTATAGTTATGCCAACTGTCCCCTCTCATATATGTCTATATATATATATATATATATATATATATATATATGCAAATACTAACTATAATATGGGAATAGTATTCAAGTGGTATATATATATATATTGTCGATGATATAGATATATATATATGTTAACGCCCTAAGCGTTTATAAACACATGGGGTTATAGTTTTGGGGATATTTAGTAAGTAATAGGTAAATGGTTTACATATATAAAACAAAAAACATTGAATATTTTTAGGTTATTTTATATATGATATATAGATATAAATATCACTAGATATATGATAACACACACACACATAATGGCTATCCCCTTATTAATCAATCAATTTTTATTAAGCACCTGGATCAAATTTGATAGTCAACTAAATTATAATTAATTTATTTGTAGAAATAAAAACTAACTTTTTTTTTGTTTGTTTGTTTAGCACACTATATAAATGCACTATTAATTAATAGCTATTATTATTATTACTGTATCATAACATGTGGTTAAAATTGTTTAGTCAATGTATTAAACAATAAATTTAATTTTAAAAAAAAACAAACAATCATTACATACAAAAAATAAATAGTTATTTAAATATAATTAATTTTAAATAAAAAATACTTTACAATACACACTATTCAACAAACAATTCAACAAAAAAAAATCAATTGAAAAAAAAATAAAATCAATAGGCATTGCATTTGTTATAATTAATAAAACATTTTTTTCAAACACTATTATAATAGCAATCATATCAATACATACATACAAACAGTAGTGTAAACATAACATAACAATTGTATACTAATAACAATACAAATAATACAATCAATAAATTGATTGTTTTATTACATACCTTATAAATAGTCGATGAAAAAAATAAATATCAAATATGGTAATCCCAACAACTAAAAAAAAAAAACTAACTGTCCACCGATGATATCCGACTGCCTTGGTATGTATGATAGGGTATGGTATGTGTATATGTCGTGTGTTTTTAATATACACTACACTAACATTCAAAACAATACATTAACGTCTGCCCAGTTAGTTCAGCCAATCAATACATACCAGTGCTCTCAGTGGCGGTGATGGTAGTAGTAGTGATGATGACATCTATCGTGTCACCGCAATAATCATGGTATGGTATGGGTGCCCAATAGTTAACACTATTACCAGTAATAGGGAGGAGGAGGGGTGGGTGTGTGTGTGTATGGAGAAAGTGATGAAAAAACTATGAGACAAAAAAAAATTAATTAAATTAATAAAACAATTATAAAGTTTTTGTATATAACTAACTAATAGTACAGTATATATATAATGTATAATTAAAATACTATTTTTTACTAAATTTAAAATAAAAATTAATTAACTAATTATGAAGAAAAAATAAACAAAATTTTATTAATTAATTAATTGTTTCAAAATTATCATAACATTTAACATTACATTTATATATATATATATATATATATATATATATATATATATATATATATATATATATATAAATAATATATTTTAAATTTTAATTATTACATTTTAGTCTAATATTTTGGGTAATAATTAATATTAATTATCGATTAATTTTTTTTATAGTTAAATGCATTTATAAAGCAATGAATTAATGAATTATAAAAAATAATATATCATTTTATCAATAATAATAATGTTGTAATTAATGAAAAAAATATATTCAAAAATTTGTAATCAAATTTATAAAAAAAACGATTTTTAAAAAATATTATGTATGATTACTGAGAAGGGGGGGGCGGGCGGGGGCTAATTAAACAAAACAAAAATAATTATTTAAATAAAAAAAAACAAAAATCAAACAGCAATTAAACATTTGAATGAAAAACAAAATTATTTTTTTTCAAAAATTAATAATGATATCAATTATCGGTAAGTAATTAATTAATTACTGGTAATAATAATTATAATATAATAATAATAATAATAATAATAATAACAGATATTATATAATTTTTATGTCAAAAATTGTATTAATAATAATAATAATTGTAATTAAAATAAACAAAAATCAAATGAAATATATAATTAATGTGAAATTAATTTTTTAGTTTTTAATGGACTCATCATAATCGGTGTCGTCGGCATCTCGTATGGCCAGCCAGTCAGTCATTCATTTAGAGATAGAAAAGTTTTGAACCCATTGAAGCGCTTGGCTCCCGGTGCAAACTGGTACCCGTTAGGAAGGCCAACTTGTGGGCGTATTGACACGGCGCCGGCACCCGAATAGTTCCCTATATATATATGTATGGGGGTGGGTAGTAGTGGTTAACAATTAAATTAATCAATAATCAGGGGGTGTCGACACCCAAACAACATTACCTGCCAATTGTAGTACAAATGAGTCAACTTATAGGCCAACATTTGATGGTTTTCCGTTTTAAATCCGGACGTATCGTAGATAATGTTATACATAGTCGGTGCTACTGTTCCCTGGCGTACGGATTGCGAAATCAAATAGAAATCGTAACGATTCAATCGGGTAACCGTCTTGTCGATGACAGTGCCGGGAATCGGATTATCCGGTTGCGGACCGGTAAAAAAGCGGGCATTAACACGTTTGGTTACAATGATAAAGGCCAGCGCCGGCGGTGAGCCCGGATTGACCTTTTTGAGTGCGTCCAACACCTGGCGGACTTCGTGTTCAAACACGTGTTCAATCATACCTTCGCCGACACCGTCCCGATAGATGACAATCTTGTTGGGCAATTGATTACCGTTAACAGTGTACCATTGTTTGATACCCTCTGTGAGCGAGCGAGTGGGTGGGATAGGGAGACAGTTAATAGATTAGTGAACCGTTAGCCCTAAATAGCCATACCTTGTAGATTATAGGCAAAATTTGATGACATTTCTTCGGTATTCTCGTGAAACTTGACCCTCGAGTGCCAGGCAGTCAACGTAGCGTTTAGCGAACAAACAAAAGCACCGGCCGATCGTCGAGATCCATGAGCGCTATCGTGATAGGTATCGTAGCCGACAACCATCAGATTTTTTGGCTAAAAACCGACAAATCAAACCAAACAGTTTAGCGGTAATTAAAAAACTGGTCACCAATTGGTTGACCGCCCATACTAACCGGTATTTTCAGAGCCCACGGTTCGCCGCCCATTTTCGTGGCCATTTGCATGGCTACTTTCGTTACGATAGACATTACGCCCGATGTTTTCAGAAAATTTTTCGCCAAAATAACCTGGGATGCAATCGGCTTTTCGCAATAACACATCTTTTTGATGGCATCATACCGTTCCTTATTATTATTGGGTACAATACAGACAACCATTTCGGCCGATTTTTGTTGGGCGTCCTGACATTTGTTAACCCATGTACCCACACGATCGTCCGGTAGGGTTTCCATTCGGGGATTTTGATAAGTAAAACCCAATGGCGTACAAACTTTGCGCATAGTTTGCAAAAAAGTGTCCACATGACCCTGGTCACGTTGAGTGGACATAATCAGCCAGCGGCCCAAAGTGACCGTCTTGAACATCGATTTCGATCGGATTTCTCGGCCAAAATCGCCCGCTTTTTGCGTAAATTTCACGCCCACCTGATCCTGACCCATATAAATCGATTCGCAATCCAATATACGACCCTTGACCTTTAGCAATTGGGTATCGTATTTGACACCCCAAACGGGCAAATCTTCGATAACTTTCGGATGTGTCATAACATCGGATATAAATCGTTGCAAATTACTGACCCGATCGGTCGGTTTGAGTCTCGATACATCCGCTATACGGCGTTTCAAATTCTGATCGTTGGCCATACGCTCGGATAGACCGGTCAGAAAACATAGTTCGGGTATCAAATAAAATGTTTGCGTACGACCCGATCGGCGATCGCGTGCAGTCGGCAATACTTCAATCAGCGGTTGTTTCGGCTGACCAATAGTTATATTGTAAACTTGTTTATAATACTCCATCAGATTAATGTTACGGCCGCGACAATCAAACCGATAGTCTTCGGGCGTAAATCCCTGGCCAGTACTGATATCGTTGATCTTATACGTACGATTGTTGTATTTGGTCAGTACAATCATACCGCATATTTCTCGTTTAGCTTCGGCCATCCAATCGCCGCCACCCGATCGCCGACGAATATCCATCATCATCTGCATTACCGTTTCCGTACGCAACAGTTTAGTCGATGAATCGACAACCATTAGTATGTCCTCCTGGTGTTGGTTGACGGCAGTTATAGCACCGGGAACTATACGCAACTTATGTTCGGCAAGTATTTGGCCGGCCGCATCATTATAATAGTTACGGCCAATCAATACCCAACCGATAAAACGCATATACTTTCGCATATTTGTATTGAATAGCCGAAGCATTTCCATCGAACCCCAGGGAACTTCTTCGGTAAACTGAATGGTAATCTGAATGTTTTCGTCAGTCGACGGATGTTTGACAAAGTGTTGTTGTTCTTCGCGATTGGACACCAAAGTCTTAATATTGGACATACCATCGAATGTGAAAGCTTTGCCAAACAAGTCGGGAATCGATTGGACGAGTTTGCGGCGAAGTTGCGGCGCCTCAATTTGCGGCTCAAATTTGACATGAAAATTGTTGACCACAATGTCTTTCGGCGGTGTCAGACGAAAATAATTGCTCATTAATGTTATCTCTTGGCCAGTAGTACCTGTGTATCACCAATTGGTGGTCAATAAAACAATGTCCGCAATGGGGAACAGTTTAGACAATTGAATTGGTGATTACAACAACCGCCCGGCCAATACATACCGTAATAGCGATCTTCGGGAACACCCCGGGGACGGGTATCCAGTTCAACATTCAAGCTTCGGTAGCCACCTCTTCCTAATAATAACCGTCCAATGATTTAGTAGTAGTAGTAGTAGTAAAACATAAGACAAACAAAAAAATCAATAATGGATTCAAAATCAATCGGCAGATTCAAAGACATCATCAATCAATCAATCAATCAGTTTAGTCATACCTCTAACAGCTCCGTCACCATTATCTCCATTTCCATTGCCATTACCTATAGATAGATAGATAGATATGTAACGATTAGTATATGATATCCTGGATGTGATGTGTTAAACCATCAAACAGTGTGGACATACCGTTACCATTGCCGTTGCCGTTACCATTGCTGCCATTACCGTTACCGTTGCCATTGCCATCATCGCCGCCAATACGCATGGCCAGCATACCCGAACCCAGTGCCTCTTCGGCACCTTGCGGTACGGCCGGCTGTGCTCGGCCTCTGGCCCGACCGCGTGAACGACCGGGAGCTCCGACGGGCGGATCCATTGTCTGTGTCTATCTTTGATGAAACCAAAAGCTTATATAAAAAACCTAATGACATAAGCAATCAATCAATCAATAGTTGATCCCATAGTAGTAGTAATAGTAGTATTGGTGATCAATAGTTACCACAAGTTTGATCCCAACAATCAATTTGATTTTTATGGCCAACTAATACCACCAACAAAAAAAATGGACGACTTTTTTGTCGTTAACTTTCAAATACTAACGTAAAATGTTTTACAAAAAAAACCAAAAAAAAAAAATTTTTTTTTTAGTCAATGCTTTTTCAATGACTAATATAATAATAACTAATAAAAAGCACACAAAAAAAATAATTAATAATACATTCAATATTATAACTGAAAAACAAAATAATTTTTTTTTGTATTAAAGTTTAATAATTAAACAAACAAAAAAAGTTTTTTTTTGCTAACTTTAAAACTATAGTATTATTAGTATTATTATTATTATTATTATTATTGACTATTGACTATTGACTTACTTATTGTGTTAATGTATTGGTAGTGTAGATGTAGTCTACAAATAATAATAATAATATTTTTTTTGTTACTTATTGTGTGTTAAATATAGTATTAATTTTAGTGATGGACTGTTAGGTCTACTATTGGTGCGCACCGTTAGCTCAAAAAAAAAGTTTTTATTAATAATACAATCAATACTACTGTATTAAAGTTACACCATTTAAAACAAATAAAGTCAATCGATGACTATATGACTACCACCTAATAAAAACCTAACTGTGCTTATAGTTTATAAAAGTTTATAAAACTTTTTTTTTGTTGGGATATATAAACTCTGACTGTACTTTCAACCCCTTTCCCCCTATCACTCACATAACCAACTGCCCCTCCATAACCTAACCGTAAGCACTGGCCTATACTGTATGACTGACTACGTGACGACACTATTAGTAAAATACTAACTGTTTTTTTTTGTTTGTTGGGCAACAATTGGCGCCACAATTGATAGTCTACTATAAAATTGATATATTAATTGATATTAATATTACTGTTAAAAAAAAAGTTTTTATATCTGTTTTTTTTGTAAGCAAATAATTTTTTGTACAATTTTTTTTTAAAAACTAATAATTTATTATTTTGTTTTTTTTATTAACAAATAATTGTTTTAGTTTTTTATATTATTTTTTTTTTTGGAAAAAACATTAATTAAATATTAGTATTTAAACACAATTTAAATAACACAACAAAAACATTATTAAATTAAAAATTATTTATAAAAAATCAAATTACTATTATTACTATTCCTATAATAAAAATAATTTGTAATAATAATATTAAACTCATATATTATATTAAGTATTTTTTTTTAAAAATAAAAATACATTTATTACAAATTATACAATTAAATTAAATAGATAAAAAAAATTCAAAGGTTATTATAGCTAAACAAACATAAAATTAAAGTTTAAAAAAGACCAAGATACCAATGTTTTAGATAAATTTTAAACTAAATAAAAATTGTAATTGGTCATTTTTAAAAAATTAATTAATTAGTTGTTTATTATATGCCAGACTATTTAATTTACTATTACATTGATGTATATATTTTATTATTTTCTGAAAATTATTATTATTTTCTAATTGTTGTAATTATTATTTTTTTTGTATTTTTTTGTATTTTAAAAATTTCTACAACAATAAATTTTTAGTATAAAATTAAAATCAATAGACACTCAATTGATAAGGGGAAATCTTAATTAGCGGCGCCGACGCCGACAGCGGCGATACATTTTTAGCAAAATAATATATAACAGCGGCGATGAAACAGCGGCGATATAAGAGCGGCGATAACAGCGGCGATGACAGCGGCGATGACAGCGGCGATGACAGCGGCGATGACAGCGGCGATAACAGCGGCGATAACAGCGGCTATATAACAGCGGCGATAACAGCGGCGATAACAGCGGCGATAACAGCGGCGATAACAGCGGCTATATAACAGCGGCGATAACAGCGGCGATAACAGCGGCTATATAACAGCGGCGATGACAGCGGCGATGACAGCGGCGATATAACAGCGGCGATATAACAGCGGCGATAACAGCGGCGATGACAGCGGCGATGACAGCGGCGATATAACAGCGGCGATATAACAGCGGCGATAACAGCGGCGATGACAGCGGCGATATAACAGCGGCGATGACAGCGGCGATGACAGCGGCGATATGACAAAAATTTTTATTAAACTACTTAATTTAATTTAAAAATTAAGTAAATTTTAATAAATTTATTTAAGATTAATTTAATAAAATTTACTTAAAAAATTATTTTAATTAAATTAAATTTCATTAAATTTATTAAATATAACTAAATTTAATTTCATTAAATTTAAAAAAGTTAAATTTTAAAATTAAGTTAAATTTCATTAAATTAAATTTCATTAAATTTCATTAAATTTAATGAAATTTCATAAAATTTAACTAAATTTAATTTCATTAATTTAAAAAAGTTAAATTTTAAAATTAAGTTAAATTTAATGAAATTTAATGAAATTTAATTTAATGAAATTTAACTTAATTTTAAAATTTAACTTTTTTAAATTTAATGAAATTAAATTTAGTTATATTTAATAAATTTAATGAAATTTAATTTAATTAAAATAATTTTTTAAGTAAATTTTATTAAATTAATCTTAAATAAATTTATTAAAATTTACTTAATTTTTAAATTAAATTAAGTAGTTTAATAAAAATTTTTGTCATATCGCCGCTGTCATCGCCGCTGTCATCGCCGCTGTTATATCGCCGCTGTCATCGCCGCTGTCATCGCCGCTGTTATCGCCGCTCTTATATCGCCGCTGTTATATATTATTTTGCTAAAAATGTATCGCCGCTGTCGGCGTCGGCGCCGCTAATTAAGATTTCCCCATTGATAATACAATTGTGATTAAATCAATCAATCAATCAATATATTTAATTGATTTCATTTATTCCTGTAAAACAAATTGTTTAATTAATTATTTTTTTTTATTTTTCAAGTGTTAAATTATTACGAGCACTGGTAGCTTATATTTAAAAAAAAATACATTTTATATAATCAATTTTGTTTGTTTGTATAAATCAAATTCAATAACTCTAACCGATTGGGGTAACCGATCGGCGCATAGACACGACCACATGAATCTGGATCTTAGTTTAGCCCAAACCGTTAGTGTAACCGACAGTTGGACGTATCCATCCGTTTAGACCGATGCTGTTTATGAATCAATTTCATTAGCGTCATTTCATCAAGTTCATTGATATTGTCCATTGACTGATCCAGTGATAATCAGTACCTCCAACAAGGGGTAACTGTGCCAAATGCTTGCCAACCTTAGCGACCCGGGTTCAAAACTTTGGACATCCAATTGCTATCGTTGTCTAGCGACTGTAGTCGCGGCATATTCGGGTAAATTTGGACAAAAAAAATTGTTTGTTAGCTACCAATAGTCCCAACATTTTACCGGTTAGTTTCAGCCGACGTATACGTGACCAACAATGTCGGTTGACTTCCAATGCCGATCTTAACTCATTCACTCAGCGGAATATTCTGGTAAATTAAGACAAACTCTTGGGATCAACACTTCCTCCATATATATACCGGTATATTGATTGCCAATTAACCGATTGATTGATTCGTGAATTGTTTATTGGCTTTTGGATTGTCGATTGATTTTAATTTTTTTAAATTAAATTTTTTTTCAAAAAAAAAAAAAATTTATTTCTAATATTTAATACATTTATTGTTTGTAAAAATTTCTAAACAATTAAATCAAATCAAAAAAAAAATTAGTCAATCAATCAGTTATCATGTCGTCGTCATCATTAGAAAGTAGCGATGAAGAAGCCATAATCCCGGCGGCGGCAGCTCCAAGAAACTCGTTTGACCGCTACGGCGATGATTTGGCCAAATTGTTACTCAATTATCTGCCGGTCCGGGATCTGCTCCGATGGGAATCAATGTCCAAACAGGTCCAGAGGTGTGGTATCCGTAATGTAAGTAACATACAGTTGAATACAGAATTAATCACAACATTGATTAATCACAATCAGTGCCGACACGACTACGACAATACTGACCACCGAGACAATCAGTGTCTGACATCAGTCGACAAATTTCGTAGACATGTAATGCAAAGATCGCCAGAAGTTTCGATTGTCGATCTGATTGATCTACCATTGGATCCATCGATGCAACCAATTATTCAGGCAATTGTCGACCGCCAGCAGCAAATCGTTTGGCCAAAACTCAAACGTATCGTCGGTTGTCGTCTAACACATGGCCAGCAACCAGTTGTCAATACTATACTACCGGTTCAACAGTTATTTCATCAGTTGGATGTGTCCGATATGTTAGACGAACCAAAACAATGGTTACAACAGTTTCAACGATTAGATAAGTTGACTGTTCATCTAATGAACGATTGTTTTATAGAGGTTAACAATATACCGGCACAGATAGCGGCAGCGGCCGCGGCCGAGGGTCTAGTACTGGACAATCAACAACAACTACTACTACTGGTCAATGGTTTGCTTGGGTTTCGTTGTCTTCTTGTTAACGAACGATTTGTCCAAATATTTCGACAGTTTATCGACCAGAATCTGGGTCTCAAACGACTGGCCATTGATATACTGTTGGCCGCAGCAGTCGTACCCCTGGGAGGGCTATCCATAAACCAAACGCTACTACAGATCGGTCGTCTGAAAAATCTTCGCCAACTGGACATTGAATCTAGAGGTGAATTAGTCCAGTCTATTGGCCATCCATTGGCATTGATTGTCGAAAATTGTCGGAAACTGAAACAATTTAGTATAAGATTTAGATATCGTAGCGACAATCCGATGGCATTTATTCAGACAATTCAGTCAATCAAACGTATGAATCGATTGTTGAGATTAGAAATAATTACAAGAAGTTCACAAGTTTTCGATACAATCGATGACAATCAGGTACTACTAGTTGAACAACAGTTAACCGATGAGTTAAGATCGGCATTGGAAGTGACCAGAGATTGTTGGCCACGTTTGCGTCGGTTGAAACTAACCGGTAAAATGTTAGGACTGATCGTAAATAAACAGTTTTTTGTCCAAATTTACCAGAATATGCCGCGACTACAGTCGCTAGACATCGATACCGATTTGATGTCCAAAATTTTGAACCCGGGTCGCCAAGGTTGGCAAGCATTGGCACAGTTACCCCAATTGGAGGAACTGATTATCACTGGACCAGTACTGGACAATATCAATGAACAACAGCTAATGAAATTGATTCATAAACAGA